TTTGAAATTTAATTCCCCTAAATTCAACTCCTCCTCAATTTTTATTTTTTATTTTTTCAAAACTTCTCCTCAATTCAATTCATCTTTAATTTAATTACTTCTAATTCAACTAAGTATTAGAAACCATGTCATTAATGTAAATATCAGCGGATGTCTGGATGATGAGATATCATACAAACGGGGACAGAATTACGAATTGGGAATGGGAATGCATTTCTCCAATTCTTGGCATTGATGTAATTCTGTGGTAAAACAAGGGTCAAATTCACCGAGTCAACGCCTTAAATTTGTTCCCAACAACTGGAGTTCAATTCCTTTATCTTCCTTTCTCTCTCGTGTTTCGGTTTTGTTTTCCTTTCTTTCAATTTCTCTCCCTAGAAAGTGAGAGAAAATTCGAGGCAAAAACAGCATTAGTCATGGAGGAAAATCACGCCCCAGCTTTGGAATCAATCCCAAACGGAGACCACGAGGCTGCAACCACCACCAACGATTTTAATACCCATATCCATACCAACAACGACCATGGCTGGCAGAAGGTCACTGCAAAGCGCCAGAGGAAGGCCAAACCCTCCAAGGCAGATTCAATCAACAATCTCAATAAGCTCGTCCCCGGCGTCACGATCGCTGGCGGAGAAGGCGTTTTCCGTTCCCTGGAGAAGCAATCGGAGGATCGACGCCGCCGGATTCTCGAAGCCCAGAGGGCGGCCAATGCCGACGCCGACAGTCTTGCTCCGGTGAGATCGAAGCTCCGGTCCGACGATGAGGATGGGGAGGACAGCGATGATGAATCTGTGGCGCAGAACGTGAAGGCCGAGGAGGCGAAAAAGTCGAAGCCTAAGAAGCCGAAGAAGCCTAAGGTCACGGTCGCTGAGGCGGCAGCTAAGATCGACGATGCAAACGATCTCTCGGCCTTCCTCATTGACATTTCGGTGAGTTTTGATTCTGATCTAGCTTGATCTATTCGTTTGTAAATAATTTTATCTAAGTTTCTAAAACTTTTTAATTAATTTGAATTTCGGCTTGCAATAGGCTTCGTACGAGTCGAAGGAGGACATACAGCTAATGCGGTTTGCGGATTATTTTGGCCGTGCATTCTCTGCAGTGACTGCTGCGCAGTTTCCATGGGTGAAGATGTTCAGGGAATCAACGGTGGCCAAGCTTGCCGATGTAAGTTTTTCTCTATTTTTTAGAATCATATTTTATTATTAACAGGCATGGTAGTTTATATCTATACCTGATTGATTAAAAGGTATTTGCTTTATGCTATTTTCCATTCTATTTTTCAAATGTAAAAAAACAAAACAAAAACGAACCAAGGGCATCAATTTTCATGGAAAGCAACATTTAATTATTCAATCCTAATGGAATTTGGTCATTCAAGTGTAAAAAGTAAATTTCTTTTGGATCTTGATTAAGGTTGACGAATTATCCGTGTCCTGTTTCCTTTTTCATGGATAATTTTTGCAAGGTGTAGCTTCCTTTAGGTGTAGCTTCCTTTAGGTTCTTTTATCTTTTCTCTTTGGATATTTATCCGCACAAATTTGATCTTTTGTTTGATCTTGCTGGATTTTTTTAGTTGGGATTAGTTCAATTGGCTGTTTGTTTGTTTATTTATTTATTTTTAACTGGGGCTTCTCCGTTGTAGTCCCTGTGTTGAGCAGCATGCTTCCTTATAAATATTATTCCTCTTCTTCCAGAGAACAATTTTGTACATATCGTTTCTGATAATGAGGTGGTATTTGTGCCTTGAAGGCAAATAAGTTGGTGGATATGGTAGCAATACCTTTATTATTGTTGCAGTACGTCTAGTCCTCTATGTACATTTTAATGTTGTGCAACATTTTTCCATCACTTCTCTGTGTACTCATCGATGACTTTTTATTGTCACGTGTTGAATGCAGAACCTATCAATCTAAAAGACATAAGTGATGATAAAGATGATACTTGCGATTGAAAATTGGTAGCTAAAGTAACTTAATATTATTGAGGACATTTGGGACAGTGACTGACATAATAAAGAGGTCTAAATCAATTGCTTTTTCATAATTACATATATATCTTCCTACTAGTTTCATTTTATCTGGTTTGCAAAAATGATGTTTCTAACATTCTCTTGCTTATGACCCCCTCTTTTCTAGGGCTTAGTAACTTATTGGTAGAAGTAATTTTGTGCATATATATATATATGCCTGGAAAACCTAACCACTTAGTATATTCTTTAACAGATTCCCCTTTCCCATATTTCTGAAGCCGTTTACAAGACATCAGTCGACTGGATCAGCCAACGTTCCCTTGAGGCCCTTGGATCCTTTATATTATGGTCTTTAGACAGCATTCTTGCAGACCTCGCGAGTCAGGTAGCTGGTGCCAAGGGCTCCAAGAAGAGTGTGCAGAATGTATCATCAAAATCTCAGGTAATTCCCCTCTCGCTCTTTTGTCTTTTACTTGTCCATGAATTCTTTGATATTTTATGTTCTTAAGTTGAAAGCTGATGTCCAGAGGTTGAGTTTGTTCCATAAGATGATGGTTTTTCTTGTATAACAGCTTCATAAATGTCATCCCTTTCTCTGATTTGCATATGGAATGATGTAGTGATTAGTTTATGTATTTCCTTATCATGTGATTTGGAAAGTGTTCTTTTGCACTCAATAAGTCCATCCATCACATAGTTCAATGTCTTGCTTGAGCTCCACTTTGGCCTTTGTTTTGTGAAATGGAACTTCTTATGCAAAATTGACCTTTATTCAAATCCCAGGTTGCGATATTTGTGGTTGTTGCAATGGTATTGCGAAAAAAACCTGATGTATTGATTAGTATATTGCCAACATTGAGAGAAAATTCAAAGTATCAAGGACAAGATAAGCTTCCAGTAATCGTATGGGCAATATCTCAGGTAAGTGGATAAGAATACAACACAGTTTTTGTATTGATCTTTGTTCATAAAAGAAAATTATAGGTTTGTCCCTCGTATTATGCTTCTTACAAAAATGTTATTGGATGTCAAAAATGTTGTATGCAGGCTAGTCAAGGAGACCTGGCTGTTGGGTTGCATGCATGGGCACACATTGTTTTGCCTCTAGTAAGTGGAAAGGGTAGTAATCCACAGTCCCGGGATCTTATTTTGCAGCTAGCGGAAAGGTATTAAAAGATGCTTATTTTTTGAAGCATTCGTACTTTCCTTTTACATTATTTAACTTTAAAATCTGCTAATTTGGTTGCAGAATTTTGTCTACACCAAAAGCTCGTACTATTTTAGTAAATGGTGCTGTCAGGAAGGGAGAGCGTTTGGTACCACCTTCTGCATTTGAGATACTTATTGGAGTTACCTTTCCTGCACCTTCAGCTAGAGTTAAGGTAATGGTAATCAGAAATTCACTGTATTGTGAGTTATTCATAGAAATATTTAGTTGTTTCATTCTTCTTAACTATGATGTTTTGTATAGGCCACCGAAAGGTTTGAGGCTATATATCCGACCCTAAAAGCAGTGGCTCTAGCTGGCTCTCCTAGAAGCAAAGCGATGAAACAAGTTTCACTGCAAATATTGAGTTTTGCTGTTAAAGCAGCAGGAGAAAGTAAGAAAATTTGACTTCCTTTGTATTGTAGTTTATTTTCTAAGTAGTAGGAAAAATCATGGGTTCTTAAAATGGGATTAACATGTAGCTGTTTCTTACAGGTATACCTGCATTGTCCAACGAAGCAACTGGAATTTTTATTTGGTGTTTGACCCAACATGCTGATTGCTTCAAGCAGTGGGTGAGCTTTTCTACCTCTCATCGACATAATTGCATTCTTCCCAAAGACTATTATAGAGAAAAACTAACACACTTCTATGCCTTTATTTAGTAAATTTAACAATCTGATTTTTGTGTCGTGCATTAAATGTTCACAGGACAAGGTTTACCAGGAAAACTTAGAAGCGAGTGTTGCCGTTCTGAAGAAGCTTTCTGATCAATGGAAAGAGCATTCTGCAAAACTCGCTCCTTTTGATCCTATGAGGGAAACTCTCAAAAGTTTTAGGCACAAGGTAACCCTTTTTTTCTTATTGTTTGGAGTCCTTGCGTAGTTTTTTCTCCAGTTGCACTATAATTATATGCAATCTTATCCATCAAAGTACTTACCATAACAAATGCTATTATGTGGATTTCGTTATCTTACCAAACTTATAGATGATTTAGTTATATATAAGTATTTAACTTGTTTATGCCCTTTGGATGCTACTATTGCTTGTAGAATGAGAAGATGTTGGCCAGTGGGGAGGATGAGGCCCACCAGGAAAAACTCATCAAGGATGCAGACAAGTATTGTAAGACATTACTTGGGAAGTCGTCACGGGGCAGCGGGTGCAAGAAAAGTGTTGCCCTTGCTGTCGTTGCCTTGGCTGTTGGTGCTGCTGTCATGTCACCAAACATGGAGTCTTGGGACTGGGATTTGGAGAAACTAAGAGTGACTATCAGCACTTTTTTTGACTGAAGGCCTTGGTTAGCAGGATGAGTGAAGCAGTTTAGAAGCTGATGGTGCAAAGCATCAATTTGTTATGAGGAAAGTAATCTAATTTACTCCATAATAAGGTGGCAACTGATGGGAAATTCTATTTATACTTTTTGTCTCAAAGGGATACGAAACTAGTAGTAGTTGGAGGTCAATACTGCTTGAAGGTTTAATTTGGTTGGTTTAAGCTGTTTCGGGCTTTTGGTTTTTGGTGTAACTTTTCATGTCTGTTTAGATCTTTTTTTTTATAAAGTTATTCACCTCTGACATCTACAGTACCAGCAATATGTTAATGAGAGCTGAGATGGATACATTTGTATTCTCGGATTAGTGTTTCAATTCAAAAGTAATTTTGAAGATAAAAGTTTGATTATTTATTATATTCGTTCAACTTTTAAATTTGATTATTTATTATGTCAAGCGAGGGAATATCACATCTTCATGCTTTTCTTGTGTATTTTTCTAAATCTCAGCTTTTCACAAACGGGTGTAAGATTGCAAAAACTGGTCATATGCACAGATAGATATATAAACCTTAACAAAGTAGTTTACATGTGTTGGTCATTGCCACGCATAGGATTATTAAATTGTACATGTCCTGTCATAGGATGTCTTTACATTTTCATGAATAATCTTCGGGTTCAGCAAATGGGTATTTTAAAAACCCAGCTTTAACTTGGTCAGGATCTTCCGGCGTTGACCAAGGGTACTTCATGGATGGATCCCTTGGGAACTTCCTGAAGTTCAGAAATGGTGCCCAAAGAAGTACACTGCACAATTGGAGAAACAAAACAGATTGTAAGTAAGACTAAGATTCCGATGGCAATTAAATTGTACCCAAAAAAAGAAAAAAGCAAAAAAGAGACAGCCACTTATACCCTGGGAAGAACAAGAAGATACACATGAACTGCAAATACATCTCTAAGAGATTTCTCTTATACCACCTTATCCGAAGCCAGTTCATGATGATTGGCTGCAATCACAGAAAAGCGTTCCTCTAGAGTTCATCAACAAATAGAAAGCGCAAAAAAGCTCGATCTCGCAAAGAAAGAAAGCATGGAGATAAGGAAATATACTTACTGGCATGAGAAGGAAGTACCAGAAGGCAATAACTCCCGATTGTATCAAAACCCATATTAAATCTTCCTCAAAGTTGACACCAGTGACAGCAAATGCAGGCTGCTCAATCTGCTAACAGAGAGAGTTCCCATGGAGTTTATTATTACCTTAATAATTTCAAAAGGGTAAGCAGATTAGAAGCAGAAGCAGAGATGATGAGTGTCTTATGTCTTACAGTGGCCAAAACTGCTCCAACTTGAATTGCCAGACTAGACTTCTTTAGGTGAAAATAGTCAGCTGGGTTTTGAAATATGCTTGTGATGACTGTCTGAAATAGAAAAAGTTGGGATCTTTAATCAGAGCTCAATAAAACTTATGAAACTATACTGGGAAAAAGTTGAAAGGAATTTACAAAATAAAAAAGCAAACCTCTTCAGGCTTAGGATCATAGGACTGTCTGTGCTGAGAAGTGATTGTGACAGAAGTACGTCGTGGATGGCTAAGAGAAGGCAAAGCCTGGGGAATTTGGAAGGTGAATGAACAGCTCATTTTAGAGCTTTCTGTGTGCGTGTTCTTATCTTTACGAATTCAGTTTCATGGCAGAAAATGCATGGAATTTCTTAACGAATAAAATTGAAAAAAAAAAAAGAATAAAAAAGATAATTATATATATGTATTAGTGCCACGTGTCAGTCAGATTCAATCAAGTCCATTCGCACAAATCGCATAATTTTTTTGGCTAGTAAGCCGAAATATCAATAGAAACCCCCAATACCAAAAATAAAATAAAAAATGAAAAACCCCAAAAACCAGACCATCTAAAGATCGAGTCTTGAATGGAACCAACTGGAAAACCTCTTCTAAAACCCGAAAACTGACTGCAACTTCCAATTTCTATTTCAATCGGCCAAAATGTTGGCATCAGCAGCCCAAGCATCCTTGGCAGTCAAACTACCTCATCTCCTCCAACCGTTATCCTCAATCTCAAACACCCACATGGAAGTCATTTCAGCTGAAACCACAAAACCCAGAAACAGAAGGCCAAGACCCTTCTTTTCTTCAACCCATTTCCAAAGCCTTAACCCCAAATCACGATCTTTTCATACAGTTCTCACAAGGGTCAGTGGTAGTGGCGGTGGTGGTGCGGCTGATGCCACCCCACAACAGTATACTCCCACTGTAAGTTCTCATTCCCATACTTTCATTATTATCAGTAATTGTATTTTTGGTGATTAACATATTTCATGAGGAGGAAAAATTGTTAATCTGATTCTTGCCACTTATTATTTTAAGGATACCGAAGAAATAAAATCTAGTTCTTTGGGTGATGGTTATGTTGCCTTGTTTATTCGGATGCTTGGGCTGGACCATGATTCTCTTGATAGAGAACAGGCAGTAGTGGCACTCTGGAAATATTCACTTGGAGGAAAGAAGTGTGTTGATGCCATTATGCAGTTTCCTGGCTGCATAAATCTCATTGTAAACTTACTAAGGTCAGACACCAGTTCTACATGTGAAGCTGCTGCTGGTCTTTTGAGATCAATATCTCTAGTTAACGTGTATAGAGATGTGGTAGCACAAAGTGGAGCAATTGAAGAGATCACTGGGTTGCTAAATCGACCTTCTTTGTCTCCTGAGGTATAGGATGGGGTATTTCACCAGTGGAATTGCTTTCCTCATTTTTCTTGATGTAGAAAAGTGAGGTTGGTTGTTATAACATTTCTGCAGGTGAAGGAGCAAGCTATAAGTGCTCTGTGGAACTTGTCTGTGGATGAGAAGTTCAGATTAAAAATTGCAAACAGTGATGCCTTGCCGTTGCTTGTGAAGTCCATGGATGATGAGGACATAAAGTTGAAGGAAGCAGCAGGCGGGGTGCTGGCCAATTTGGCATTAAGCCACTTTAATCACAGCATTATGGTTGAAGCAGGTGTTATACCAAAATTGGTGAGACTTCCTCTACCATTCTTTGTTGCTAGTATGATTTAGTTTTCAAGTTGGATCAAATGGCTTTAGGTAAGTATGCTGGTTTTCGTTGTCAGTGGTACTTGATATGTAGTGGTCAATTTGGGATTGTCTTGTATGCATCACATGTTAAACAAAGGTTAAGCAATTCAATCTATAAATCATAGTTAGGGATGCCTCCTTTTTTAAATGCTTGATTATGATATAATTTTCTTTATTAATGCAGGCAAAGCTCTTAAGGACTGACATTGAAGGATCTAAAGTAATTAGAAAGGAGGCAAGAAATGCTTTGTTGGAACTATGTAAGGATGAATATTACAGAATCCTTATTGTAGAGGAAGGTCTGGTTCCAGTCCCCATGATTGGTGCAGCTGCTTATAAGTCCTTCAGACCCGGTTTGTATTCATGGCCGAGATTACCAGATGGTACGGATATTGAACAGACTTCTAAAACTCCTTCCAGGTTTGGTGCCTCTGAAATACTCCTTGGATTAAATGTTGATGACAAGAATGTAAACATAGAGGAAGCCAAGATGAATGCAATTGTTGGACGGACGCAGCAGCAGTTTCTTGCTCGTATTGGGGCCATTGAGCTGGAAGATGAAAAGAATCAATCTGAAGCAACCACTGGTAAACGACTCACACTTTTGCCATGGATGGACGGTGTGGCTAGATTAGTTTTGATTCTTGGACTTGAAGATGAGTCAGCAATAGCAAGAGCTGCAGAGTCAATTGCTGACACATCTATCAATGAACATATACGGATTGCATTCAAGGAAGCTGGGGCAGTTAAGCCTTTAGTACAGCATCTAGACAGTAAGAATGATGCTGTTATACTGGCAGTTACTCGAGCTCTAGAGAAGTTGTCTGTCAGGTAATAAATCATTCACTGTTTTCAAGTCTCTGATTCTGGGTTTTTTTTAATGAAACTCAAATATTTTTAAAACCTAAATTAACAGGGTGAACAGTCTTTCAAAATTATACAGAGCAATTAATGTTTGACACCCTTCTTCATGCTAATAGGATCTTGTTTTGCTTGATGCAGCAACGGTGTTTGCCAGATAATTGAAGCTGAAGGTGTTATAGATCCTTTGATTAATGTTTTAAAGCAACCAAAGATCCCTGAAATCTTGATGGAAAAGGTCATTCATCATGTTACTTCTAGTCTATCCACAAATCTTCTGGGAAATGATTCTAGTTTAAGCTGATCATGTGAATAATTGCTGTCATGCAGACCCTTGATATTCTTGCCCGGATCTTAGATCCAAGTATAGAAATGAAGTCAAAGGTTGGCCAATTGTTTCTTGATATGATCTTTGAAACCTTTTAGATTTAGTTATCAATTGACTTACCGGATATGTTCATTCATTCCAGTTTTATGATGGCCCAGTAAATGGATCAAAAGAGGGGTCGGCTGCAGCAATAACTGCAGATGCAGCTCATAATTGTGTATCAAAAACAAATCCCAGGTTCCATCTCCCCTCCTTTGTATTTTCTGTGTTCTTTTTTGTTGCTTAAAATTATTGGAACTTTTCCTTTTTTCCATTATATTATATGTTAAAGGTGAAAGGTTGCTATTATAGCTTCGTGTACTCCATGATAAGCCAAGGAAGAATAAAATGAGCAGAATGCAAATGTTTGCCTCCCATATCACCAAATTCTCGTTGTGGTTCATTGTTTTGAGGCCCTGCTTTCCTCGTCCTTCTTGAAAAAAAGACCAAGTAAAGTTACAATTACGTCTGTATAGGGAAAGCGTGCTCGACTTTGGGGTGATTGCTCACCTGGTTGAGATATTGAAGACCACAACCCCAAGATTACAAAGAAAAGCTGCTTCAATCCTCGAGTTCTGTACAGTTATTGACCCAAGGATGGAAACCATCATTTCAGTGGATGTAGAATCTGGTTTGGATGTCGTTTTCCAACAAAAGATTCTTGAAGGTATTGGAAGTTTTTTAATGAATTCATTTAGAATTTAGCAATGGGCTTGAAAAGCACTAATGTATTGCTTCTTCAGCTTATAGGCACAGATGCCTCCATTGAGATATGATTACAGTTGTTTTTAAATAAACTTGAAATTGAATATTTGATTTTCGTAGAAGATTGCATGTAAAAGCTGAAATACTGTTTATCATATGGTACGAAGAAGTAAGAATAGTGCTTGTTTTCAGATTTGATTAACTATACCTTCTTTTTTTTGGTATGCGGTATTTAGCAGACATGGAATCTGAAGTAGTTAATCAGCAGCCAGAAAAATATGCCCTTGAAGTTGAAGAAGCTGGTCTTGCTATATCAGCAGCATCCCGGTTATTTACTAGACTGCTCGACTCTGAGAACTTCTGCCAAAAAATAGATTCCGCCCATTTCACCAAATTGCTCTGCAATATCCTGGAGTCTAATATCCCCCTTAACAACAAAGATTGGGTTGCTGCTTGTTTGGTGAAAGTTGGTTCTCTTTCTGGTCCCAGGCTAGGTTTCGAGGACCCAATCAACATGGAAGTAACTCTTTACGAGACCATTCCAAGACTCATGGAGCAGATCAAAACCTCTTTCTCTCCAGAAGCAAAGGAAGCTGCTGTTGTAGAACTCAACAGAATAATCTCTGAAGGGGTGGTTGATTCCACTCGAGCCATTGCTTCCGAGGGAGGCATATTTCCGTTGGTGAAACTGATTGAAGAAGGGAGTGAGAGGGCCATTGATGCATGTTTGGCAATATTGTATAATCTGAGCATGGACAGTGAGAATCATTCGGCTATTATAGCTGCTGGAGCAGTGCCGGTTTTGAGGAGAATTGTTCTATCACAAAGACCACAGTGGACCCGGGCACTTCGTTTGCTGAGGACTCTACCTACATGAGGAGGCATTGTCAAACTCTGTACTTACGACATGATATTTTGCTTAGAATTTTCCATTTTGCACTGTTCTGAAGCCATTGAAGAGTGCATACTTCATAGTGATATGTTTTCGCTCAAAAGTTTCATAGATCTGAATGAATATACCCTTAAATTGATGGGTAAGGTTGACTCACTAAAACTAATCTAATTGTTTTAGTACGCGGGCAGCTGATGATGCCCCCTTCATATGCCTAGATTGGAATTCAACTTCTTGTCCATGGTATACTAAGCGGATGAATGAAAAGTTTTGTTTGTTAATTTACACCCCAGATGATGATGAGATGATTTGTTATGAGCCAATTGAGGCTGGTCCATTAAATTCTCCCCACCACCCCACCAGAAAATGTCGCCAAACTTAAATATTAGGCTAAAACCCTCACTCATTTTGAAGAATTGCTGGCTTTTCCTTTGGTCTGACAACTACGCCAGTTTATAAAAAACTTCGTGTTCCTGTGTCATTCTCATGTTTACATTATTTTAATTTTCTGAGGATATTTATCAGTTGGACCAGGCTAACTGACATAACGGTGAGAATACCAGACCACCACCCACCATGTCTAGCTTATCCTCTTGCCTTTCCCTAACCAAAAACCTTGTTCATGCTTCCCTTTCCAACAACAACAACAACAACAACAATGGCTCACCACCACCTCCACCACCTCTCCAAGCCAATCCCACCAAACCTCCATTGAGCAGCAGGAACCAGACCCCAACAGTTCTACCAAGAAAGAAGCAGCAAAACCAACCACAACGCAAGCCAAGGCAGCCTTCTGTCATCGAAATCGAAAGTGCTATTGGTGCCGGCAGATTTCGTGATGCCGACCCCAGGTATGCTGTTCCCTGCTCTTACAATTTTGAATCTCAGTATCAACAGCATCATCCAAGTGTGAAATGTGACGGTGACCCTGCTGGTCTTGTTCATATATGTATACTTCCACTGTACTTTGAGTTTTGAATTCCGTTTATTGATTGAGATTTATGATGATAAAATGAAAAGGGGTTTTGCTCGTTTTATTTAAAAATGTGTTGAGCTAAGTTTGGGGGTATTTCATGAGTCTCTGGTTCTGAATTTTGAGGTTTCTGATGTACATATTCAGGGATTTGGAAGAACAGAAGAATGCTAAATTCGACATGTCAATGATGAACTTTCCTAGCAAGTTTGAAGGGCCAGTGGAGAAGAAGCTTCGCGAGACAGGAGAGTGGATAACCAATAAAACTGAAAGAGGCTTCCGTTTGTCCGGTAATCATTTTCTTTTCAGCTTGTTTTTGTTAAAAAGGGATATCTGTCACCAACGAAGGATGTTTAAGCTAACTATATGAAAGTTTTCTACTTGATGATGAAGATGACACTGCTTCTACAGGCACTTGTTGAAATTTCAGTATCAAACAGTCTAATCATTCAAGTTTTGGCAAAGCCACACTTAAGTTGATCCTTTTCAGAAAGTCAACAATGGTGGAACCCTTGATTGGTGTTCTTCTCCTTTGAATTACTAAGCTCACAAAACCACAAAACCACAAAACCATAATGTTGAAAGTGAGTTACCCTTTAAATTAGAGAGACAATCTTAGAATCATTGAATCAATGGACGTAGGTATTGAACAATACCAATGAATGAATGAATGATGCTGAATCTGGGATTGTCAGCTACTAACTGGAGTTATCTCTTTGTTTTTTGTTTTTTCAGGCAAGAAAATTCTGAAGTTTGTGTTTCTGTGGTTGCTACCAATTTGGAGTTTCTCACTCCTAGTGGCCTCTGGGACCATCAAGCTAAACTCCCCATTTATTAATGACCTCATTATGTGAATAAATTTTACTTCAAATTTTCAACAGTCAATACAAATGCTGTGTGTGTAGATTGGTAGGAGGAGAGCTCTCAGCTGTTTTACAGCATCTTTTCTTATCAATGAATGAAATATAATTCACCAAGCTCATAACCTCTGACTTGCACCACAGGATTAAAAGGCTTTGATTGCATATAGACCAACCAAACAGATAGTTCAAGAGACTCTGGAACAATTGTTCTTCGTTGACCTAGCTCAAGGATTGATTGATTAAATCAATTTGTTGGTGAGCGCACCACCTACGAATTTTATTTGGTCAAATATTTTCTTTTGAGTGTTGGAAAATTTATGTTCAACAGTTGTTCTAGATGCAGAATCTTTGGGAACAAAACAATCTACTCCCGCGGTGTGCGGGAGGGATCCTGTTGGAAAATTAAACCAAGCTGGGTGGCATGTGACAGGAAGAGAGCAAGATGCAGGTGCAGACAGACTGCTCTGCAGCATCTATCATTTCAGAGGCTCTCATTTTTCTTGGTCCAGCTATGCCTAAAGCTAAAGCTCTGCTTCTCCTTCATCACCAGCTTCTCAGAAACTAGTGTCTGAATATTTTTTTAATAATTTGTTACAAATTACAATATAATACATGAGTTGGATCATATGCACTCAGTCCGGGTCTCATCATTCATGCGTTAATTCTTATTAAATAAATAAAAGGCGCATTCACGACTTGATACAAGTTGACTGAATCAGATAAAAGTTGGAACTACTTGATAATAGAAAGCCTATGATAAAAATAATATTGTGGTAAATGTGCATTGAGATAAACAAAAATATATATGCATGCTATTAGACACTAATTATAATAAAAGTATATATTCGTTACTTGTAATTGCGGTAAAAGTGGGACACTAATTATATTATATGTGAATGATGACGCACACACCGAACCGAAGCAGGCAGGGGGCCGCCAAAAGCCAACGCCCCTCTTTCATAATTTCATAAAACCCAAAAAAGGCAAAAAAGGAAAAAACACTCATCTCCTCAAAAAAATAAGGCCAAGAATAAAACGGAAAAACTCGAATAAAAGACGACGCCGTATGAGTGCGTCTCTTCTCTTCTACTTTGCAGGCTGTCTTTCTTGAATTCTTTCCATCGCATTCCATCGAGTCCTTCGCTTTCCTCTCTCGTCCCCAAAGCATCGGAGCCACAGGGAGAGAGAGAAAAAGAGAGAAACAAGGTCTGAAAGCCAGGTCAGTGCATTCTTCTAGAGAGAGAGAAAGAAAGACCGCGATCTGAGCGGCGAAGCAGTTTGGGTATAGTAGTAGAGAAATGGGGACGCTTCAGACGTGGAGAAAAGCCTACGGGGCTCTCAAAGACACCACCAAAGTCGGCCTTGCCCACGTCAACAGCGATTACGCGGTAACATTCCTTTCTTTTTATCTAATTTATTTATATATAAAAACTTAGATTTTTGTTATCTAAATTGGATTTTGATTTTGGATTCTGTGTTCTAAGAATAGGATTTGGATGTTGCTATAGTCAAAGCCACTAACCACGTCGAGTGCCCGCCCAAGGAGAGACATCTCAGAAGTCAGTTCTTTCTTTTCTTTTCTATTTCTGATTTTCAGATCCATTCTTTTGTTTCGTTTCATTTATCAAATGGGTCGTTGATTTTTTAGCGAAATATTGATTCTTTTTTTGGGGGTGTATTGGATGCAGAAATCCTGATTGCCACATCGGCAATTAGGCCACGAGCGGATGTTGCTTATTGCATTCATGCTCTTTCAAGAAGATTAAACAAGACCCATAATTGGACGGTATGCTGCTTATCCATTCAATTGCAATGCGATACTTTTCAATTTTGTATTGGACGTTTATTGGACTTAAATGATTTTTTTTCTTCTTTTGAATTTCAATTGGGTTTTGCTTAATACTGTTGTTTAACATGCCATACCATATGAGGTTCTCTATGTGTGTGCGCGTTTCTGTTGATATCATTTGGATTTGCTCGGACTTGTACTTGGTTGCTTTGTTAAACCACATAGATGTGCCTAAGTTACTCAATGCATGCTATTGTAGTGTTAGACAATGACATTACAGTTAAAGACTGACCTTAGGCTCTGACATATTTACCAGTTGTTGATCCTCTCCTTAGTTTCCATTTCTTTCACTAGACTAATTGATGAGACAAAGTTCATATGTACTGCGTTTTGTGTGTGCATAGTTGCGATTTATGAAAGATCTGAAGTTTTGTTTAAGCATTTGTGAACTCTATCATGGTCTTCTACTCATCTGGTTCAATTCTGTCTCAAAAACTGAATTCTTCTCAGCATTAGCATCGTGAAGCCAACTGCATGAGATGAAATAACACTTATTTGACGTTTTCCTTTTAGCAGTATATGGCTTATCATTTTCTTATGGATAAATATGCTTATGTGTGTGTATATATTTATTCTTTCCTGCTAAACTTGCATGTATCATTTCTGTGTTTGGCATTGGCAGGTGGCTTTAAAAACATTGATAGTTATCCATAGGACTTTGCGGGAGGGTGATCCTACTTTCAGAGAAGAACTTCTAAATTTCTCTCAGAGAGGACGAATTCTCCAGCTTTCTAATTTCAAAGACGATTCCAGTCCTATTGGTGAATTTTAACGCCTTAAATCTCTCTCATTCTTTGCCCTTCTCATCTCCCTGTCATTACGAGCTATGAGTTGCAGTACTTGAAATTATGACATTGCTTTTGAATTCCAAATTGAAGAAACACAAACACATCTTTTACCAAAACATGATGATTTTGAACACAAACATATCTATAGCTTAACAGTAACTAATTGATGATTATGACATTGCTTTTCCTCCTCTGCAGCTTGGGATTGCTCTGCCTGGGTGCGTACTTATGCATTGTTTTTGGAGGAACGACTTGAATGCTTTAGGGTTCTGAAGTATGACATTGAAGCTGAACGTCTTCCAAGGCCTGCCCAGGGGCAGGAGAAGGTACTTACCAAATAACTCGTCATACCTTTTCTTGATAATAAGCACAAAGCACTATAGCAGTTTTTTTTTTTTTTTTTTTTTTTTTTTTTTAAAATATAAAAAAAACAACCCCGGGGGAAAAAATAAATTTAAAATTGGTGAATTTTAACGCCTTAAATCTCTCTCATTCTTTGCCCTTCTCATCTCCCTGTCATTACGAGCTATGAGTTGCAGTACTTGAAATTATGACATTGCTTTTGAATTCCAAATTGAAGAAACACAAACACATCTTTTACCAAAACATGATGATTTTGAACACAAACATATCTATAGCTTAACAGTAACTAATTGATGATTA